CCCCAAAACCCCAAAACCCCAAAACCCCAAATGAATAAATTTGATTCAATAAGTACCGTTATTTAAATAATTTCTAAAATTTAAATGGATAGCATTGAAAAAGTTATTGACGAAAAAAATGAACTCTGGAAAGCACTCCAGGATGTTCAAGAACTACTAGAGAGGACTAAAAATGAGAAAGAGCAAGTCACAAAATTATTCGCTGATTTCAAATAGCATTTCGAAGTTATAAAAACACAGTGCTCTTAGTATCACAATAGACTTGTGGAAGAAATCACATCTAAAAAGGAAATTTAAAATATTTATGAGCAAAGACTTCAAGATCTCAGAAAATCAATTGAAGTAAAGTAAAGAGAAATAGACTAGATCAGCTAAAAAATGGTGCTACCAATTGATACAGATATCCTGAGAATGAGAATTCAAAAGGATTTGGAGAGTAAATTTAGAATAGAGCTAGAAACAAGAGCTCTAGAACTAGAGAGAATGACAGACGCATTTTATGAATGCAAAAGGCATATGGAAATCTTTAAAACTTCACTTGAAAACCAAAAATTTGAATCAGAAAAAATACTGTAGGAAATGAGGGAGAAACATAAAAATGAATTGACTGAGATTTATGAAGAAAATTAATCACTTTAAATAAAGTTGGAAGAATAGAGAGATAGAGAAACTATTCGATAGATAAGGCGAGAACTAGATGAATTTAGAAAGAGAGCAAGTGACTAATCATTGGAAATCAATGAACTTAGAAAAGAAAGAGATGCTCTTAAACTCGAAAGAAATGATATGATTATCAAATAAGCAAAAGAACTAGAAGATGAAAGAAATACCAGAAGAACCCTTAATACTGACAATGATAAGCTGAAGTTCAGAGTCAGATGTTTGGAAGATGATCTGTAAAAATAATGCTTAAAATCAGAAAAGAAAACTTAAGAGCTTAACCAAACTAGTAATGAGAAAACCTCACTGCTAGGATTAATGAAGGAAAAAGAGATCTAAATGGATTCAATGAATAGATAGATGAACGAGTTGAGAGAAGAATTGCATTAAAGAGAGTTAGATCTTGATATGTACCTGAGGAGACAGACTGACGAGGAAAGAGATAAAGGCATCATGGAAAGGAAAGAGAAATCTAAACTCTAAAGAGAGCTTGAAATCCTTGAAAAGAATTATACTGAGTTAGAATAGCAAAGAAAAGCAGATATTTACGCTATTCAGGATGACTACGAAAAACTGTAAAAATAACATAGAGTAATGACTGAGGAAAGAAACATTTACTTGCAGAAAGTCTAGCAAGTACAAACTGAATTCGATGATATGAGAAAAACATTCGATTAGAAGAATGACGAGTTTGACATGATTGAAAGAGAATATAAAAAGCTTCAGGAAAGACACAGAGAGACAATGAATAATGAGTTTAATCTTCAAACTGCCAAGGATCATTTAGAAATGTCAGTGAGAGTGTCGCAAGAGGAATTGCAAAAAGTTAATCAGGAATTCGAAGAAAGTGTTTACAGATGGAAGTAGGAAAGAGGAGAGCTTCTTAATAAGCTTCAAGAGTTCTAATCTGTCATTTCAAGAGCGAGAGATGAAAGTGCCAAAAGCAAACTGCACTCAAAGCAGTATAAGGATAAACTTAGACTAGCTAATAACACTATTAGAGCTTTGAGCTAAAAGGTTGCTTAATATGAATTAGAGAGATAGGCTGAAAGAGATATTGATGATATTAGAGTGGGTAGCTAGCAATTAATGGAAAATGGTTTGATGGGAAGAGATTCTCACAATAGTAATAGAGGGTCAGATGTAGATTTTAAGGAAGTCATTTAAAGAATACTGCATGATGATCAGTTGAAGCAAGAAATGCGCAAGATCCTCAACTAATGAGCGAAATCAACTAACTATCTTTGATTATTAATTTTAAATTTGCTTATAAACTTTTAATTATTAATGGCTTAAAATCAAGATTTAGAAAAAGAGAGGAAAATAACTCTTTTCAAAGACTAATACAGGATATAATTCGATCATCTTAAATTTAGATAGCATAAAGTAATATCCTTAAAAAACATTTGGTAAAATATTAATCTATATATTATAGAGAGAATATTATAACTGCTTGATGGTTCACTGCTATCCAGTGACTGAGAAAATGTGGCTGAGGAATACTAACTTTAATCTTACAAGAGCAGAGCTTTGCCAGAAAACTTGCTCTAAAAATATGATGGGTATTTAAGGCTAATAGAATCTGGAATTAATGAGGTTTTTAGCAGAGTCGAAAGAATGTGACAGCATTAAAAATTCTAAAGATAAAACTAAATGTCTAGTGGAAAAAACGAAGCCTCACATTGAGAAAGTTAATTAGTAGTTTGAAAAGTTGCTTTAAAATTAGTGATTAATGGATGATTTGGGCTTATTATGTTAAAGATGTTGTTGATTAATTGATAAGATAATATAGTTTAATTAACAATAGAAAATAAACATTAAAATGCAACCTGGAATTAAAAAAAAGCGTACTCAAGTAAGCATTATCCCTTAAACATTCATTTTTGAGAATAAATCTAATTATAAAATAGATCAAGCCATACAAGAAAAGGCACACATAGCATTAAGATAAGATATTAGCTTTGCATTCGTATTAAGATGGAGATGAGTGTTAAAAGTTAATTAGTGCATCAACAGATGGGAAAATCATTTGTAAATTCATCAAATAAGTATATAATTAACTGTAGAATTGGATGTAAAGGCAAAAGAATTTGTGGAAATAGACATTAAGTATCCCTATGAAAGTCTGATTAGTGATTTCAAGGATAGCAAGAAGGAATTAGAAATAGTCTAGTATTTGAAGTCTGATAATATTCTCAGTACTGTAAGTCATCATTATTTTGTCTTAATTTGGAATTAGCCAGAGATTTTAAATACTGCTTAAAGCAATTATCATATTTCAGCTGTTGCTTTTCATTAATAGTCTTTAATTGCTGCAATAGGCTATGAAAATGGTCTTATCTAGATAAAAGATTTATATACGGGTGATGCAATTAGTGTGTTATTCGGTCATTTGAATTTCATATAAACTCTTTACTTCTGTGAGAACAGCCTCTTTAGTGGATCGACAGATTGCATGATTAGAGAGTGGGATATGAAAGATAACTATATTTGCAAAAATATATATAAGTTTAATGATCCAATCTAAAAGATATAGGTGATAGAAGATAAATAGATACTTATAGTAGCAACTTGGGGTAATATTGATTATTTTGATGTATTATATAATAGGTGATGAAAAGATTGCTTTTTTGGATATTTAAAAGAATGAGATTACAAAATAATTTAAAGCACTAACTGGATAAATAAATGATTTCATAATACTTAATGATTATTTGTATGTCTGTGGTGCAGAGTCTAGAATAAGAGCATTTAATGTCTTGAATGGTGATATTTAGGAATATTTTGGTTATTAAGGAGTTTTCACATCAATCATATCTTATAAGGACAAATTTCTGATCACAGGTCAAGATGATGGTAGTGTCAAGTTTTGGAATATTAAGACAAAATAGATCATTGAAGATTTGCCGGGTCATTTAAATGCGGTTACCAGTTTCACTTTTTTAGATAACTATTTATATTCAGGTTCTCTCGACCATTCTATTTTGTGTTGGAATTTAAATGAGATTGAGATTAGAATAATTGAACGAGAAGCTATGCAATATGAAGATTTACTATCCAAGAAAATTGAAGTATTCTAGAGGTACATCTCATCGAAAACCAAGAAGAAGGGCAAAGGTAAAGCTAAAAAGAAGAAGTGAAAATAATCATGATAATAATTTCACAATTGAGTTGTTTTAAAGATAACTGACGTTTGCTAAAGATATTTATTATTTGAAGGAATAGTTTTATTTCCAGTAATGACTTAAATAATGCAAGTAGGGGTTTTGGGGTTTTGGGGTTTTGGGG